CAAACCCCGTTCTGAGTTCCTGCACAGCACTTGCTGGTGCCCTTGGATTCTGACCATGTCTAGTTCAAGTTCGCCTCTATCACCCTTACCAGTCCCCCTCACACACCAAACCCCTACACACTCCTACTCCTTTGCACGTGCAATGCCCATGGCCCTTAATGCCTTCTCTTTCTTCGGTCTTTCTGCCCAACTCCAGCTTAGTCTTTTGCTGGTGGTGATTTGGGGTGGGGGTTGTTTTCCATTTTGTTGTTTTGTTTTGAGGCAGTTCTATGTGGCCTAGGCTTTCCTCAAACTCTCCATCCTCCTGCGTCAGCTTCCAAGTGCTGAGATTATAGGAGGTGTAAATCCCGGGTTCCTGCTCATTTATTTGTTTGTTTGTTTATTATTTTTAAGCAGGGCCTCTTGAATCCACCGTGTAGTTGAACATGACCTTGAATCCCTGATCCTTTTCCTCCACCTTGTAAGTGCTGAGATTGCAGGATGCACCACCACACCCAGCTTCCTGCTCCTGTTCTCCCTCAGAAGGCGGTCCTGATTGGTCCTGTTTGCCCTTCTTTTTGTTTCCCCCCCAAGCTCCATTTGTTTATGTCTCTGTCCTCTCCACTGGGTGGCAAGTTCCCTGAGGGCTAAATCTGGGGCTGATTCCTCAGGACCCAAGAGGCCCCCACTGGACTGTGCCGAAACAGTGTTGTCTTCGATGACTGCTCTCCCACTTAGCAGCTCTGACCCCTTACTACACTTGTGTGACCACCGGCCTCTTTTTCTGCTTGAGTGACAGAATACCCTTTGCCCAGTCATCTCAGTGTCTGCATTTTTTTTTCAGGTGCTTTCTCTCACTCTAGATTGTCCTCAGCGTTGCCTGTCTCTGCCTCATTCTTCAGTTCACTTCCTTTCTCCCCAGGCCCAGAAGCAATCTTGTTCTTCACTCATTAAGGATTAATTTCCAAGCAAGGCTGGGGTAGAGAACACAGAGCTTGGGGTCAGGGGATGCGTGCTGGCTATAGGAGTCAGAGCCAGAAGTCAGACCATGCCCATTTAAGAATACTGGGTGGCCAGTGGCCCACAGCCCAGAGCAATGCTCTTCCTTTGAGCCTGCAGCTAAGTGCCTCATCTCTCACCCTGGAAGGGACACCCTTCAACAGAGCAGGGCTCCTGAGGCCAACTTTGTTGGTTTAGTTACGCTACAAGGCTTTTGCTCCTGCCCCTGCTGTTACAACCTACAGATTCCTGGTACCAATCTGATTGAACAACTTAATTAAGATGCAATAAAAGAAAAGTGGTCCGGATGTGCCCCGGGCAGAGCAGTCTAGAGTCTGCAGCCACTGCCCCCTCTTGAGCCCAGAGTCGTTTCTCACCCTTCCTAAATGTCCTAGACTGGCAATGACCTTAAAGGAAGAGCTTTAGTGTTGTGTGCAGAGGGCCCCTAAAGGTTAATCACTCTACCAGCTTGTTTATGCTGGTGGTGGGTCACCTCAGTTCACTGTCATGTCCAGAGAGGATGATGAAACTACCCAAGTGCCCCAGTCTCTAATATTTAGGGCTTAGCACCACCCAGGGCTTATCTCACAAGACCAAATAGGAAGGAGAACATGCTTTAAAATGCTGAGATTGAGCTGGAGAAGGGGCCCAATTTTGGCTATGACAGCGCAAGCTGCTCTTGCAGAGGACCTGAGTTCAGTCCTAGTACCCAGATCAGGTGGCTCTTAATCACCTCAAACTCGGGCTCCAAGGGATGCAACACCTTCTCACGGCCTTCCTGGGTATCTACACATATGTGGCAGACACACAGATAGTCACACATAAATAAAAATAAAATAATTTGAAAACCCAATGAAATCCATGTTTGTGTTTATTGTTTTGGATAACAGCTTCCAGAATTCCATGGTAATTCACATACCATGTACTTATTTAAAGTGGTTTTTTTTCTCTTTTAGTTTACTCAGAGTTGGGCAACCATCACTATTTTGATATGTTTTTATCAATCCCCAAAGAAAGCCAATACCCCGTTGTGTTGGTCCCTCCTCTTTCTCCTCATGCTGCTTTGTTCTGGGTGACCACTCTCACTTTCTGACTCTGTATACATGCTCACTTCAATCCCCTCTGAAGTCAAGACATAGTCTATCTTGAATATGCCTCATTTTCTTAAAGATTTATTTATTTTTATGTGCACTGGTGTTTTGCCCACATGCATGTCTGTGTGAGGGTGTCAGGTCCGCTGGAACCAGAGTTACAGACAGTTGTGAGCTGCCATGTGGGTGCTGAGAATTGAACCCAGGTCCTCTGGAAGAGCAACCAGTCCTCTTAAGCCTTGCACCATCTCTCCAGCCCCCATGCCTGATTTTTTAAGAATTGTATGTCTTAAGTTATATAGCCTGATGTCTTGACATGCCATAGTTGACTCTTCATTCACTAGCTGATGGACAGTTGGCTAGGTTGTTTCCACCTTCTGACTATTGTGAAGAACACTTTGGTGTGCAGAAATTTGTGTTGCTTTATGTTTTCAATTCTCTTGAATTGACAAACTTATTTGCTCTTGTGTCTCATTAACAACACCAATGTAAATGGTGATGAGCCCAAGGCCTTATCACGCACATTGATTCACTGGAAAATAGTGAGGCCAGGAAAAGGGCTGGAGAAAGCCAGACTCCAAGATGCTGTGTTCTGCCCTTGCTCATGGCCCTGCTGCATGAGACCTCAAAGGAGGAAGTTAGACCTCTGACAATTACCTGCTAAAACCTTTATCATTTTAAAGAAAAAATATGATATGAGAAAACTTTCATTTGAAATACATGAAGGAAGTTTTTAAAAACCACCAATAGTCACACATACCATCACTTTAAACTTGATCTGGTCCTTTTTTTATTCCCTGATCTGCCATCTTCTAATTCCCCAGTGAAGACCGTATGCCTACTTCTCAGTGGAATTAAACTCCCACCACACTCTAACCAACTCACTCTGTTCTTACCAAGGAGATGGGTGAGACTCTGCAGGGAGCTGGGGGACCTGAGTCAGGGAAGTATCATTCAAGGACTTCTGTCACAGTTGCAGGTCTCAGAGCTCTGTGTGTGGGAGACAGAGCTACTACACTGTGCCCTAGTGCCCTATTTTCTGGGTACTCTGTCCTGCTCAACATCTGTCACCAATAGGTGTGTGACAAAGAGGCTGAGCAGAACAAATTACTCCAGATACCTAGCAGTTTGAACTGCAAGCAATTGCCAACATACACTTATTTTCAGCCTAAAAATAAATGGAAGTTTCACATGACTAGTGGGGTTGACCCGTCACTCTCTGGCACTTCCTTCCTTCCCTTCTGGTCTGGCTGCTCCAACTGCTTCACTTTCTACTATTAGCTACTACTGACTTCTTCTTCAAGAACACCTCCAAGGTCTTTGCCCTGACCCCAGCTGTCTTAGGAGCCCTTCCTCTACCTGTCTTCCCTTGGTCTTCTGGCATGGTTGTATTAATTGTCTACCTGCATATCTGACCTTGTCTGTCAGCTGTAGAGTTCTGATATCACCGAATTCGTCCTGTAACCTCAGATGCCAGGACATCATACTCAACATAACTTGTTTAACAAATGTTGTGTGTGTGTGTGTGTGTGTGTGTGTGTGTGTGTGTGTGTGTGCCATGAATCACTTTTCCCATTTGCTGTGATGAGACAAGGGTTTTTTGTTTGTTTGTGTTTTTGGTTTGGTTATTTTTTTTTCAAGACAGGTTTCTCTGTGTAGCCCTGGCTGTCCTGGAACTCGCTATGCAGACCAGGCTGGCCTCAAATTCAGAGATCTGCCTGCCTCTGTCTCCTGAGTGCTGGGATTAAAGGCTTGTGCCACCACCGACTGATGATAGAAGGTTTTTATCCATTGACATCTTTAAGGCCTCCTTTGTCTCCAAGGAACAGAAGGGGGTTGATTTCAAGGACTTTTTCAATTCCTATAGCCTAAGAAATGGACATGACATGAATTCTTACCCTTTAACAGCCATACACAGGGATTTTATGTGGATTTGGGGAACTAGACCAGAAAATGACTGGCTAAATGGAAGCTTCTAAGGAATTCTGGTGATAATTATTTTATGTTCTTTAAACATGCTTTATTTTGATGCAGAAAGTGTTTGCAGAGTGCCTAGGAACATGCATGCCAGTGTTAGGCACAGTAGCATGACACAAAGTTGTAAGTAAATAGCATCTTCCCTGGATCTCCAGTGACCATCTCATTCTTCGAAATAGCTCGAAGTGCCTATAAAAATCCTGTCCTGCTGGCTGATTACTCTTGCTAAGACTCGCGGATGTGCTGGGGAAGCTGGCCCATGTCCCCCCAAAGCTGCCTGACCATTGGGCTTCCACCTCTTAGCCTGGGGTCCCCTGAGCAGAGCATCAGGCCGGACGCCCTCTGGCGGTGGCGCTCCGCAGCTACGGCCCAGCGCAGAGCTGGCGAGGGGAAAGGAGAGGGAGGAGGGGGGAGGCGCAGGCAGGGGAGGAGAGGAAAAAGTTGCGCTGGGAAGTTTGGAAAGTTGGGAAGTGGCTGCTGCGGGCTTCGCCTCCCTCCGCGCGCGTGCGAGGGAACAAGCGAGAGAGCGAGCGCGGAGCCAGCGAGCGCCTGCCATGCCCGGCAGACCCCGCCTCGCCGCGCCCGGGCGCCGAGCTC